AGTCACAGCTGCATCCACTCTCCCCATCAGCCCCAGTCCATATAATCCATCTGTTTCTCCTCACTCATCAGCTGAGCATCATTGGCTTTTATACCATGTCCAGTCCTCCTTGTGCCTGTTTGTGTCTCCTTGTGTCTTGTCTTGAGCTTTGCCAGTATTTGCTGTCATGAAAGCCTTTTATTTTGTTTTAAAAAAAAGAAAGTAATTATTTTTAAGCTCTGTCCGTGTCCATCCACCTCCTGAAACCATGGCATTGAAGTTGTTTTAAAATTGCAACAATACTCTATAAGAATAAGAATACATTGTAATAATTAAACTGTTTTTCTCCAAACTATTTATTCAAAAATCTATCTACAACAGGTAAGATATTAGGTGCTCATAATCATTCCACAGAACTCCACTTCAAAATATCTGAACTGTTTATTTAAGGTTTTTAAAAGTAATTCAAGAACTCCAAAAGTCTCTTGCCTTTGAGGACCTGCAAATACTGTGCTGTCCTATTGGTCAATGAAAGGTTTGAACTAAAGGTTTGTAAGATCTACAGTAAATCAAAAAGGCCCATAGATTGAAAAAGGTGCAGAGGCTTTCTGTTCTAGAGGGTTCTTGTTCTGTGCGTTCTTGAACAGGAACTCTACAAAGACCTATTTATGCCGGGAATGGGCAACATTTTTGTTTGTAAAGTAATCAAAGGGCAACACTGAAATGAAAAATGGGCACTCTTTGATTTCCTCATTCATCATAGATGAAATCATATCATCTTTCAGAAATGCTTAGTCTAAAAAAAGTTTTGTTTGGCAGTCCTTGTTTAATTGCCAGAATCTAACCTTTTATTTTTCCTGCAGTGATGAGAAGTTTATAATATAGTTAACAAGCTCGGTCAAAATCTGATTCTAGAAATCTGTTAGAAAACTTTGAAATGTCAGCTTTTGGACGAAATTTCAATTCAAACATTTGGAGCATTTTCCATCTTTTTATTAAAACATGTTGTTTTGTTGCATAAATATTTTTGCTGCGTAACTGAAGTATAGCAAAATCACAGAAGCTTGGGTTTTTAGTTAATTGAAAACAAAAAGTCGTACTAAATCAAATTAGAAGATGAAATTATAGATTTACAACGCATGTAGCAAAGATAACATTGACCAACATTCACCAATAAATATATATTTTTGCTTTATCCTTTGGCCTTGGAACATCGTGCATTGCAGTATTAGTGAAAAATGTGGCTTTTTGCTTTAAATAACAGATGGAATATAAACAAAATTCAAGTAAGCTACACATCTGTACCTGTGATTTGAACAAAGCTACCGTCTCCGTTTCCTCACTGCCGGTGTGCAAACAAGTGCAGTTGTTTATAGACTGGATCCCTTTAAAGGTGGAGAGGTGTTTAATTATAAGCTTACTGGCAGTGTTTAGTGTGGCTCAGCCTGTGCGTCTGACTAATAATAATATAAGGGTGAGAATGCCGAGGTATGGTTGGTTCACAGTCTCCCTGCAGTTACTTGGAATTAGCCCAGGGATTTTTGAGAATACAAGACATGGATAAACAAGAAAGTTGGCAAAACAAAATTATCTTTTGAGAAAGTTTGTTTATTATATACAGTACAGTATGCTCTTTGACAAGAATAAATACTCAGCAGGAATGGCCCAGTTTGGGTGTAAGTGTCTCCACTACAGTCCCGCAAAGGCCATGTAACTGATTTGATTTGCATGTCTAGAATGGGCATCGGAGTTCATGTGTGGTCTCATTAGGAATAGAATGACAATGGCATCAAGAAATTTCCTAAATACACTATAGGCACAAGAGACAGCGTTGGCAGTGTTAGAAAAAAAATGGGTATATCATGTCAGGAGACCCACACACTGAGACAAACACCAAGGACGGATGGTTGTACACCAAGCATTACAGAACCTCATGACATCTGCACCTCCCATCTGGACACCACTTTTGGATTCTTTACAACATCTTGTGCCATCCCGCCCCATGTCTCGATGACTGACGTCAGCCAGACAACGAGTTCTTTGTCCCGTGCATGAACTGCCATTAACACCAGAGCAGAGACCTTTTTAGTGGCGCTGCAACAGGGAGGCATGGACTCATGACAAGTGGTGTTTTATCAGTAGAGCAATGAATCTCAGTTATAGGTCAGCACAAATCTCCATGTGTCTGTAAGGTGGTGTTAAGGGAAGAGGACCAATTTTACCCATGTTGTTGAGACATACCAGAATTACTCCTGGCATCACAATGTGGGAAGCCACAGGATCTAACTTCAGGTCATCCTCGGGTAGAGATCCATGGGACTTTAGCAAACTAGTGCTAACTCAGTAACATGCTGTATCCACATACCTTACCCCTCATGAGACGGCACTCTGGTAGAGTCTTTCAACACAGAACGGGGGTCTATGGACTGCCTGCACCATGTTGAAGTGCTCCTTTGGGCAGCCAAGTCCCCCACTCTTTTCCTAATCAAACACATGATGGATCAGCTTGGACATCAACTCTGACCCAGAAACAATATGTATGTCAGATCTTGAGGGACAGTTCCTACAGCTGTGGGTTGACTTGCTGCAGGAGAGGACACAGCAGCTGCATGACATCTGTAGATGAACAGATGCTGGGATATATTCATCATTTAACGCGGGTTCCTCATTTTTCTGGACTGAATAAAACGTGCATTGAATTTAAGGAAAGGCAAACGTGAGACGTCATTTAAATTTGACCCATCAAAATGAATGCGGTCATTTATTTACAGAATCAAATTTAACATCAAACATTTACATTAATTTGGCAAATTATGAAAATAACAATATAAGCAATCAATCAGGAAAAATCATACGGCCATGATTTTTCGTTGCTGCACCACAAACATTTATAAAACTGTACAACTATGATCTTTTACCCACACGGATGTGAATAAGCACTTTACACAGACATTTCTAAATATCTGGGAGAATTTCTACTTGATAGAAAGTTAAAGATGAAAGAAGTTAAAGGGAGTAAGATTGAATGGGAAGGGAGGAATGTTCACCAGAACCGACACTCTCCATCAGAAGCCCAGCTCTCCTTCGGTACGCTTGGTAGGAAACTTGATCCATTACCTTTCTGAAGATTTATCAGCAGATATGGAATTCCGTTAACGCTACCTGTCCAGCGTCTCCTGATGGTGGCTGTAGCTCGTCAGAAGTAGTGGCTAGTGAAAGTTATAATCCCATGGAACTCGGAAGAGCCTTTTGTCATGTCAAGATCATCCCGTCTCTAACAGAACTTGAGCAGAACCAGCAGAAAACTCTCCAGCACTCCAGCAACTTCAGAACTCCAGAACTCTGAACTCTGAGAACTCCGAAAACTCTAGAAGTCTGACAACTCTCCAACTCTGTGTAGACCAGGAAGTACTGACATTTTAAAGACTCTTTCCCGGTTCACTTTTTGGGATTTTTCATTGGTCAGAAACGACCAGACGGGGTGGGTTTTGTGACGTAAGAGGTTAGAGACAGCGAGAATTGTTATGGGACAGCTCAGAAATGTTCTCACAGACCGAGAGGGTTTTGTTTTGGCGTGTTTCAGGAAACAGGTGCAAAACATCTCTACTTACGTCTGAGAGGATTCTAAAACATGACAGTTTTAACATAACAACTTGTTTTTCGTTTGACTGTAACCTTGTAAACGCACACACTTGCTCATTCAAAAGCAGAAATCAGAAAAATGCATAATTACTCTGCAACAGCTTTTAACATGAGTTCTAACTTTTGCATGAGAATAAAAACCATTACTCAGTTAATAAAATTGATTAGTTCACTGCAACATCTAAAATGGTTTGAACTAAGACACTTTGATTATCAACATTTGTAAGATAGTAATGATAATAAAAAGAGAGTGTTCTTTTCACTTGAATCTTCAAGAAAGAAAGTCTCAGGATGGGTGAACCTGTATTTATGGATTCAAATACATGAAATGACAGCTTCTGTCCCACAAGGTTCTAAAGGTCAAGAGTTTTGACCTTAGACTTAGTTTCGACGTAGGCCTAGCCCACTACACATCGTTCCACACCAGACTGCCTGAATACAGCTGCTTCATGGGACTTCAACCAAAGATTTTCACTTATCAAGTTCTTTTGACTGTCAGAGGTCATTTATTGTGAGAATTGAAACACATGATTGGGCACGTTTTTTGTCTTCCTTGATTAGCACCTCAATAATAACTGAAAGGCTCTGCCTAATTACCAACATGATCATTTTCAAGACGCTGCAATCAGAAGACTTTGAGACTATAAATAGTCATATTTAGGTTTTGCCCTTTGTTCAACTAAAGTTTTTCTTTGTCACATTTCAGCTGTGTGTAAAAGGCAGCAGCAGAGGTTGGTTGGTTTATAAGAATCTCTGTAGGAGGATGTTCAGCTTTTGTTTTTTGGAAGACGTGACCATCAGCCAAACATTACCTCCACCTTTATGACTGCAAGTCTAATCTCCGCAGAGCTACCAAACCCATAGATTGGCAGTTCAGGGAAGAAGGAAGCTCCATTGACGTCACTTCTCGCACAGATCTCATAATTTCAGCTTTTCGCTCCGTCAGTCACACTACTCTGTGGTGGAAGAGACGCAAGAGGGAATGGGGTGGAAAGTGTGGCTGCTTGGCACCCCACCAGGACAGGATGTGCAGCCGAGGCAGCATCAGATAGGACCTCCTGCTGAGAGTACAGGCAGCCATTGGTCCATCTGTTCTCCCAGCTGAATCACTGTTCTCCAAATAGAAAGCTGCTGTCTCACCAATTTATATATCTGAATTTTCTTTCACCTCCTTTGAGGTGTTATCTCAAGTTCAACGATGGTGTTTTTTAGTACATGAAAGTTTAATCTTCCTTTAAAGGTCTGCTTGTAAATTCCTGTGTGCTCATCTGTAAGTCAGTCGTGAGTTCAAAGGAAAATTGTCTTCTCTTTTCTCGTTCTGTTGCGTGTTGTATAATTTTGTTTGAGGTTTTTTTTTTTTGTGTGCTTGTTCTGCCCAGGGTACCACCACAGCTTGCCCTCGTCTCCGTACGCCACTGGTCCTGAGGGTCAAAGGTTGCCGTCATCTGGGGCATTATCGTCAGAGTTCCTCAACCACGGAGTCCCTGTAAAGATTCTGCTGCTGGTCTGTAACGCTGCTGGAGCGGGCCAACAAACCGCCAGGTAAACACACTGCTCGACCGGAACCTTGTGCTCACAGAGTAATCTTTTAACAGCAGGTTAGAAGTCACACGTGTTTTTTGTCTGTGTATCTGTTAGCAAAATTTATTTTAGAAAGAAATCAATTGATATACATCTACAGTCAATTAACTCTTGAAGTCACTATAAAAACTGTGACTACACTATAAATTGTGTTGGAAAACTACCATGCTAATGCTACCTCTAAGGAAAGCTAGCTCGCCTTGATAGGTTGAGTTACACCAGTAACCACTCGGTTACTTCAAACTTGAGCAGTGGAAACAGCTCGCCTTGACGTGGTCACCATTCCCAAATGTAACAAAGAGACCTCACAAAACACCAACTTATCCAGTTATCTTAAATCCAATTATAAATGCGTCCTTAAAATCCACAAATGGCAGTAGAGGTAGACACGTCATCAAGTCGTCCAAGTCGATGACATATCCAGCTGCGTGCATGCCAACAGGGTAAATCGGCTCGCCTAAAGCCTGTCTTCTCTTCGAGGAAATGTTATCAGTTGTGTTGAGGGAACAACTGATCAAATCAAGTCCATAATTATGGCAGAAGATATGTAGAGAGAGGCTCAGAAGCAGCTTCACAGACGAGACAGAGCAGCAAAGCGGAGAGGGAGAGGAGGGGAAAAAAGCGTCCGACCTCAGCAAGAGCAAGTGGTGAAGGAGTGAACCGTGGAACTGATCAAAAAAAAGAGTAACAATGCCATGTCAGACCTGCTTGAGGTCCAGTGTGAAATATCCACACTCAGTCATGATTTGAGGTCATCACTAAGAAAAGGTGTGCTGATTACAAATAATGAACAGGTGTGATGTGAGAAGGTGGAAAAGGAGAACTGAAGACATCTAAAGGCTACGACCAAAGTTACAACTACATAACGTAATTCATCTGAGTAATAAAACATTTCATACATCTACAATGTAACAAATGAAAACAAAAGGTACTTCAGCAGTTAAAAAGCAGCATTCCTTTAAGGATTGTATCTTACTTGATCCGTTAGCATTCAGAGTACGTGTTGGGAATGACTCTCAGCTACCAACACATCAGGTTTGAGCTCGGTGTCTGTAAAATTGACTGAATTAGAGCCATCTTTGTGTTGGCTAAGTTCGATCAGCTGTGGCGTCCATCTTGAATAAAGCTCACTCTAAGCGTTAAATAGTGACGCATATTCAGTGATTCTGAGTTTTATTGGAATTTAACTGGTTTATGTGATATTTTGCTAACAGTCAGACAAATGAAAACACACAGGTCGCCAGATTTTTGATGGTCAGTAACAAACTAAAAACTAAGACCAGGACAATGGAACAACTTAACATTTTATGTTTTATTTATAGTTTCCTTCAAACCATAAATGTCTCTTTCGTGTCCCGTTACAGAGAATCAGCCTCACATTTTACGTGCAATGACTCAGACGTTAGTTCACAATCAAACAACCCAGGATACAGACACCTGCCCCTTTAGGGATCAATCAGACGGTGCTCTCACTGACGGGGTCCAGAGGGATCCATATAGGTGCGCTGACCAGCACTGCTGTGAGGAAGGTTGATGTCATCCATGAGGGGACACCTCTAGGTCACTGCACAAATCGCCCACATGTCTCGCTCTCATCAGATGACAGCTGGCGTTTCGCTCTGTGCCAAGAAAATGACACTGGAGTCGCATGTTTTATCATCTCTGAGCTCTTTGTAGAATATCGTCACAGGTTAAAAAAAAAAAAACCCCAGAGAGAAACGCTCAGTTTGGTTTATACCGCTGAACTGTGGAACCACATTTTACATGGAAGGAAACCAAATGGTGATTTTTATTAATATTATTATTATCATGTTTACTCTTGTCCTCTGTGTGTGGAGGCAGGTGGAAAATAAAATCACAGCAAACTTAGACTTCAGGAAAAGACTCAAAGAAAAATGAGCCACAATGTTTTTTGTTTTTTTGGGGGAGATTATATTTATCGCCCTCTGAAGATGAAAGGCCTGCCTGTATCTGCCTGTATCTACCTGTTTGTATGGATGTCTGTTAGCAAAATATATCATAATCCACTTGGTACATGTTAATGAAACTTAGAGGAAGTCATTGCTGGATGTAAATAAACTGATAACTTTTGGAGTCAACCTGATTCAAGATGGCTGCCGCAGCCAACTAACCTTAAAAAAACACTAAAATCATGATGAGTTGGTCAATTTTACTGATGCTGAGCTGACATTTCATGTGGTAGTGGTTGAGATTCATTTTCAAAACGCGTTCTGAGCGTGTACAAATTTCACAAGCTCTTTGTTCAAAACATAGCAACTATTTGCAGTCGACTTTGTCTGTTAGCAAAATTTTTCATGAACTACTTGAGAGAATTTATTGAAACTTTCAATTCAATTCAGTTTATTTATATAGCGCCAAATCACAACAAAGTTGTCTCAGGCCACTTTACAGGAACAATCAACTGAACTTAGAAAACACAAAACTGAATTTAATTTAGTCAGTTTTACAAAAATTGTGCTAAAAGTTGTCTGAGTTGTAACTGAGGGACATTTCACAATCAGGACTCCAGGTGTTACTAATCGCACAAGAACTTTGCTTCAAACTTTACCTTCAACTGTTGGAGTCGACCCCTGTTTGTCTGTTAGCAAAATATCATATGAAGCACTGAATGGAATAAGATACATTCTTTATAAAGTAATAAATGAATGTAAATATAAAAGTGAGTAACTGTTGGAATCCATCCAATTCAAGATGGCTGCAATAGTGGATCAGCATCTGCCTGCACAAAAATGGCTTTGACTCGATCAATTTTACAGATATTGAGCTAAAATTTGATGTTTGTCGCTGAAGTTTCTCATTAGTTTTAAATTTTGTCATTAAAGGCAGCATAATACTACACAGTGAAAATTACAATAAAGTCAGGTTTGTGAAAAAACAGTATTAGTGCACAAAATGATGTTATTTATTGCTCCCCCACAGGAAAAACTAAATGTTTATTAATTCTGTCTGAATGAGAAATATTAGCTAATGTGTTGTTTTCCAAAAACAAACCTTTTTTTAAATAAAAAGGCAATAAAATGACAGGAAATAAACTAGAAAAACAGACTCTATATGAGAAAAGCCTAAATTTGAGATGATTTTGTGTCTTTATGTCAATCTCTTTTTCTGTTTTGCCTTTTTGTGGAGTTGTGTGTTCTGCTGGTCTCGTACTAATAAATCCCAGGACCTTGGGGGACGGCTGCTCTCAATTAGACATGTATTATAATAGACACGTCATGTGATGAGAGGTCTCTGAGAGATCGTTTTCCTTCTCCTCATCAGCCATTACGCCTCCTTGATGTCCTTCTCTGTCCTTCCATGGATATGCTGCAGTGAGAATTGTGCTCCAACCCCACTAATGATAACAAATAATTATTTTAGCTACAGTAAGATGAAACTTCAGGCTCATGTGGCTGAGATGAGGGGTTGTAAAGTCTACAATCTGTAACTTTGTGACACTAATTCCCTTTATGTGTTTAAGATTTGGACCACCATTCCTAATGAGGGAGGACAGGTCTATTTCCTGGGACCAACTTCAACAAAGCATCCTCAGCAAGCTTTATTACCTGATGATCAACGGAGCTCCAGCTCAGGTATTCAGTGCCTGTTAATAATCATGTGACACTGAGAAACTAATAAGTTTTGCCTACTGATTCATTTTTTTAATATATATATATATATATATATATATAT